GTATCAGAGTAGGACTGTGCCCCATAGGGTTTTCAGTGGTGGATTTTTCAGAAGTAGATGGCCAGGCCTTTCTTCCAAGGTACCTCTGGGTAGACTCTAACCTCCAACCTTTCAGTTAGCAGCCAAGTGAACCATTTGCTCCACCTAGGGACTTCCCAAGTGATATCAAAGGAGTGATATTAAGGTGCTGAGACAGGCTGAGACCCCTCTGGCTTCTGACTGTAACATTCTGAACAGGTATCAGCAAGCAGGGGAGAAACACGTTGCATGGTAACTATGCATCAAGAAGACCTGGTCCTCAGGGACTGTGGGCAGAGGGGAGTGGGGAGTTACTCCTGAAGGGGCACTCTGTTTCTGTTAAGGAGGATGAGAAACCTTTTGGAAATAGATAGTGGTGATGGTTGTACAACACGGTGAAAGTCAATAATGTCACTGAATTGCTGAAGAATGGTTAAAATGGCAAATTTTTTGTTATATGTATTTTACCACAATAAAATTATTTAAAAAAATAATGCAGACCCAGTCCTGGCCCTCACATGCTCCGCTCTTCGTGAACTGTGAGCAGAGGTTCGTCAGCGCTAGCAGAAACCCACTCCCTGAGTTAGCGCAGGGACCAAGAACCTGCAACGAGAGCCCGACTGAATGGTGTGTGTTTGGGTTTTTACTGTCACTTTTGAGAGACCGTGTGTGCTTTGGGTGAGGGATGGGGTCCAAGAGAGGGTTTGGGAAAATGGAACCCACGGAGTGAGTGTTGTCAGTCGTGGGAGGAGTAGGCAAAGGTGGGACCTTGGTACCAGGACCATAGGGCTGCAATGGGCATCGATGTTGACAGAAGCAGGGAGTTTTTCAAGCTGCAGAATTTACCAATATCAGATCCCTTGAGGGGGCTGACCTGCTCTGAGGAGGAGAACCCAGAGTAGGACAATTCAGCAGTGAGAACCTCGAGGCGCTGTCAAGAGTGGGCTTGAGGAAACTTGAGGAGATAAAGTTTAACCTCAAACTGAAGCTGGAGTTGGGGGTAGACTTGAGGCCAGAGAAAGAGGAAACTGAGAGAACAACTGAGATTCGGAATGGTGAGAGGAGAGAGGGTGATTAGGAAGAATGATGAACTGAGAAGAAGAACCTGAAAAAGCTCAAGAATTTGTTTGCACTTGTCTCACATCAATGCTTTGTGTCTGTGATTGACCTAATTTGGGGACCGGTCTTACATACTGGCTAAGCATTTATATCTCTAGTTCAAATGACTTTTAATGCCAAAAATGTGTTTGAGATAGCATTGGATAAAGAATGTGTATCTATTAAAATAGAAACATAAAATGAGAAAACTATTAAGAGAAAAAATAAACATAAGAAGAGCCGAGAAGAATGTAACTCTACATTAAATTTAACTTCAAGCCTACTGGCAACCAAGCAGAAAGTGAAACTCGGTGATGCTCAACTGTGTGGAGGGGGCTGGTGAGGGTGGGAACCCGGGCTGTGCAGTTCCCCAGTGATCCTCTCCTCCCCCAGAGTGTGCAGCTTCTTGGAGTGAGTGAGGGTCACTGTGTCCTGGGAAACTGACTGTTGGTGGCAGATGTAGTCCTGAGACCAGTAGTGTTTCTTCCTCCTGGTGTGTCTCTGCCTCCTGCAGCTGGACTGTTTGGAGCCACACCAGGACACCCGACCTTGAGTGAATAGGTGATGGTGGCTGTTATGGACTGAAATGTGTCCCCTCAAAATGTCTGTCAACTTGGCTAGGCCATGGTTCCTAGTATTGTGTGGTTGTCCTCCATTTTGTCATCTGATGTAATTTTCCTATGTGTTGTAAATCTTAACCTCTAGGCTTAGAGGCAGTTGTGTTATGAGGCAGGAGACAATCTACAGGATTAGGTTGTATCTTGAGTCCACCTCTTTTGAGATATAAAAGAGAGAAGCGAGTAGAGAGGAGGGACTTCATTATCTCATTACTACCAAGCAGGAAGAGCCAGGAGTGGAGCACGTCCTTTGTAACTAGGGTCCCTATGCTAAGAAGTTCCTAGACCAGGGGAAGATTGATGACAAAGACATTCCCCCAAAGCCAACAGAGACAGAAAGTCTTCCCCTGGCGCTGGCACCCTGAATTTGGACTTCTAGCCTCCTAAACTGTCAGAGAATAAATTTCTCTTTGCTAAAGCCATCCACTTGTGGTATTTCTGTTATAGCAGCACTAGATAACTAAGACAGTGACTGATGATGCTTTCTTGCTTGATGTTCATTGGTCAGTGCCAGGCAAGAGAGTGATTTGACTTTCAAACTCTGATACTTGAAAACCCCCATGAATGTACACATTGCACATTTTATGGTTAAATGGAGGGAAATAGCAGCAGGCAGGTGCCTCATATGTGCAGGCACAGAATCATGTGAAATTTGAAGTTTTCCAAAGAAAAACATTGTTTTGTAAATTCAGGATGACCCTAACTTCCTGAAATTAGCATGACTTTCACTTTCAGTATTATTTTACTTGGACTTGATTCTCAGTGTTCTGCCTACTATGCTCAGGCCCTAAGATTGCCAAAAGTTCTTCTAGAATTGGAAGGAAGGAGCAGTTTGGAGGTCTGGAGTTGAGGCAAAAGGAAAGAATCTATTTACTATTCCAATATCTGAAGCATAATGGGGCCATCCTTGTTGGTGAAACTATACCATACTCTGTGCTTTGAGTTCCCAGCTGTCCAATTGTATCAGCCTCTGCTCTGCCTCAACACCGTGAACCACTGCTTGCTTGAAATGCTCCCTTCTTTTATTTAAAACTTGTCCCTATTCACCCCAATTTCCTCCATCACCCTGTGACTTAGTTGCCCATGTGGACCCCCATCCAGTGCCCAAGACTTTAGCTGATCAGCTCAAATTCATTGGCCTTCAGCTTCACTCCAGTAATGTTCACACCCATGGCCAGATTTTCAGGTTTGTTTGCACTGAAATACCTCCGAACTCTTGCAGTAACCTTGTACACTTTACTGATTATAACCTCTACTACTTTGATCTCTCTTACTCCTTCTGTATCTGCTGTTCTCATTCATCAAGCCCTTCAGCTTCTGCCTATCAGCCCCTCCTTGACTATCTGAGATCCATTAGTCTATCACTTAGTCATTCCCTGGTCAATACCCAGACCTCCCTTAACCTCCAAAGCCCCAGCCTTAGATCAATCCGTGAATCTAATTCTCTCTTTTCTTTCTCTGATATGTGTTTCTGAGAAAAGCTGGTTTAAACCACTTAGCCATGAAGACAAAATCCATCACTAATTTATGGTCTTCAATCTTAAGTAGCTTCCAGTGCTGACCAGAAATTCTTCTGGTTTCCCTTGTAACTCTTCTGAGCTTTCTCAAAATGATCACTTTCTCCTGGTTCCCACCAACTATTCCCAAGTATTCCAAACTCCTTCCAAACCAAAAACTCATTGCCATCCAGTCGACTCTGACTCATAGGGATCCTATAGGACAGAGTAGAACTGCCCCATAGAGTTTCCAAGGAGTGCCTGGTAGATTCGAACTGTGGACCTTTTGGTTAGCAGCCGTAGCTCTTAACCACTACACCACTGTCTCTTCAAACTATGACTCCCACCACCCTTAGGAGATGACCTCACCTACTTTTCTGGGCGCATAGACACCATCAGATGGGAACTCTCAACTCCCTGGTCTCCACATTCCGATGTAACTGTGGCCATCTCCATTCTTTCCTCTTTCTGTGGACAGAGTTGCTCCTCTTATAACAAGGCTCATTTGTCCTGAACTCTGGATCTCGTGTCTAATCTCCTCAAGGAAGTGACTCCACCAGTTGTTTCCAGATTCTTATCTCGAACCTCACAATTGTCAAACAAAACAAACTGTAAGATTAGAACTCTGAAAGATTTCATTAAATATTAATTTGATTTAAAATATATTTTTATAAAGAAGTGATATTTTAACGAAAGAACAAAATCCGCTTTCCACTCTTCTCCATCTGTGTTATGTCCAGGGAGGCTCACTTTGTCAATAGTGGGTTCCCCTGCCTTCTGACTCTCAGGTTTGGACAATGAGGAGTTTTAGCCAGGTGATTGGAGAGTGAGGTCAGGGTATTTAGCCCTTGACTCCCTCCTGGTGGGGTCTAAGTGAGCTGATGCATCCCTTAATCTAAGGGCAGCATCTGTCAGACAGCTCCTTTTTCCTGGTTCCTGTGACTGCTTCCTCCCTAGAGTCTTCAGGCCTCTCAGCAGGATCGGTGTCCTGCTCTCACGAGCACCAGGTACTGCACCCTATATTTGATTTTCCTGTATCTTGTCC